CTAGATCTGCATGCTTATTTTATTCTACTATAGACACTGTTGTACAAATTTCAAGGCCCCTTTTTGGCTCCAACTGAAGTTAAGGAGAGGTGGGTATTTTGGAGAGGAACCAATATTTATAAAGTACTTAGGATGCACCAGCTATGTGCAAGTTGTTTTGCAAATGGCTCTTACTCAAGTCTTCATGCTGATGCTAGAAGGAAGTGTTCCTAACATAATTTTGCAGAGCAGGTGACAGAGCTCACAAAAGAAGAATAACTTGTTCAAGGTTCCATAATTGCTGAGTGGTTGTGACAAGATTTGTGTGTAGAATAGGCTGGTGCCAAATGAAGTGTGTGGTCTTTCTGGTATAGCTTGCTATGTAGGGTTTCAATCAGCTGGTCCTGCCTCTGCCAGGTCAAGGGAGGTGACATATGTCTTTGTCTTTTCCTTCTTATTTTCTACCCTCAAGCCTGCAGATCTGCTATCAAAATCTGCATTCATTTGGACACTGACATGGTCTGGTTTTAGGGGATAAGGAACTGGGACAGTGTGGGAGGGGCAGTTAGAACAGAGTTCTCGCCTCTGTTGCTCACTGAGCCATCTTATAGGTGTTCTTTTCAGTCTCTAAGCTTTAATCTCTGAACCTATAAAATTTGCATAACTTAGTGGTTAAGCACACAGGCATGGTCCAACTCCAGCTCTACTGCTCACTGGTCATGGGACCAGGGACAAATTGCTTGAACTTTCTGTACTTCGGTTTCTCATCTCTGAACTAGAGATCATAAAAAGAAAAAAAAAAAAGTTAAACTAGAATAGGAGATGTATAAAACAAGGAGAGGGCAAGAGTCTATGACTGAATGAATAATAGATGCATTTCAGCATACATTGTCTATATCATTCAATAATTCATATTTATACAGAAGCCATGTGCTCTAGGAGGAAGAGCAAAGATTCGGAAGTTAGTATATAAAGATTCAAAATCTAGTTGTATTCACTTAATGGCTGTTTATTCATGGACAAAGCACATAACTTCTTTGATCCTGCCACCTCCATTACAAAATGAAGATAATAATATCTATTTCATCAAGTTTTTATAAGGTACAAAAATAGGTGAGAGGTAGCTGATAAGTCCTCATAAGATATAAAACAGTGACTTGTCATTTTCTAAACAGAAATTTTGATAATGGTCATGATATGGGGGCTAAGGGAGCATTAAACTATTATTAACTTCACTGGCAAGACTCTGGAGATGTTTGTTGTGTCTTTTTCCATGATTTATGCAATAAAGATATTCACTTTTAAGGCAAATATGATGCCAGCTATGATAAAAGGAGTTCAAAACACACAAAAGATCTTTGAGCTTGTGGGAGCTGTTCATCATTAATGGAATTACAATGTTTTTGCAATCAATTCTATGTGGCCAATTTGACTGAAACTTGGGACAGATTAAAATCTAACTTCACTATTTTGTAACTTTGCCCACAGTCAGCTTGGATTCATCTGAATAATGAGAAATTGTGCATAGAAAGGACAAAATCCTCACCATAATAACAAGCAAAAAAGGCAGATATTGTGCCAAAAGTAAGTACTTAAAAGTACTTTTGGGCTGGGGTTGTGGCTCAGTGGTAGAGGGCTCCCATAGCATGTGCAAGGCACTAGATTCGATCCCTCAGCACCACATTAAAATAAAGGTTAACAACAACAACAACAAAAAGATGCAGTCATTGCCTTAAAAAAAAAAAAAAAAGTACTTTCACCAAGTGAACTTTGAATAAATGCTGTTGATTCCAAGAAATCTGTGCTCCTGGGCAGATGTTGTCAGAAACTGTGCTCCTGTGCCTTAAAAAGATAAAAGAAGCACACAGTAGGGCAGCAAGGAAGAATGAAACACAGCAGGGAACCACAGCAATAGTGGTAATTTGAAGTGCCTGTCCTTCCTCCTCTGCTTTAACAACTTCCCCCACTGCTGCCTACAGCTCAGCGGGTGACCATCAATCCTCAATTCGGCCACACTGGCCTCTCCCCTCTTCGTTCTGACCGGGCCACTGACTCCTCACCAGCTTCCCTAACATCTGTGGTCTCCCTTGGTGTGCCTGGCTTCATCCTCATGTCGAAAAGTGGCACACAGCACCTGGCACGTGACTAGGAGCACCCTCTCCATGAACATTTGATGAACAGAACTGAATTTCAAATGAACTGCAGGAAAAAAAAATGCTACTAAAAAGCTAAAGTGAAAGATGCCAATCTCACCATGAGACCTTGCAGCCTCAGGCAGTAAACGATTGGGAGCCTGAGTTCTAGCGGAGCACCATTCCCTAACCCACTTGGGTTTTTCTCAGATCAGAGAGAGGAAGTTTCAGAAAAAAAAGAACATGCGCTACAATAAAGCAGGTACAAATAATTTATAATCTAGTTTGACTTCTTTAGCTTTTAGTCACGAGATCTCCAGAGGAGTTTATTACTCTTAAAATGAGAGCAACTGAAAGGATGAATTGTATAACATGTATATTATTTATGTGTAAGCTATCATAAAGAAACTGAATCTATATACTATCCCAAATGTAAATTGACTTTATTCAGTGTATTCCCCACTGATCTAACTGTAAGAATGAATTAAACAAAACACTGGCATGTGTACACTCTTCAAAAGACACTAAGAACAAACCGTAATCCCAAACTGACCACAATCCAAATAAATAAATCCAAACTTTTTTTTTCATGTACTTAAGTCTTGAAATTAGACATTAGCTATATTTCACTATATGCTACTTAGTTATATTTTCTTCTTATCTCAAATTTCTAAGTGTTTAGCATGTGATAAGCATAAGTAGGCATGATTTGTCCATAAAGTTTCTCATTTAAACCACATAACTCTGGGAAGTTGATAACAACACATCAAATTCACCATAGAAAACAAGGTTGAAAGAAGTCAAGCAGCTTAATTGAAATTTTAGCTTAGTCCTCTAAGACTGCTCCATCACTTGGCCTACCTTATCTAACTTTCTTGCTCAGTTCAGCTAATAGCACCAAAACATATGGAGAAATATCACTGTGTACTTGAACATATAAAACACAGTTTCTGGGGCAGGAGGAGAAGTTCAAAGCCAGCCGCAACAACTTAGTAAGATCCTGTCTCAAAAAGGGCTGAGGAATGTGACTCAGCGGTAAAGTGCCCCTGGGTTCAATCTTCAGTACCAAAATAAAATAAAATACAGTTTCCTCTCATATTTAAAATTGATAATTGGCTTTAAATAGAAAAAAAGAAGACTCAAAATTCAGCCATGCTCACCATCATGTGCAAGCAGAAAGTAAATGCAAAAGTTCCACAAAGCCAGAAGCCTGGACTCTGAAAATGGACACAAGTCCTTAGGACTATTCCTAACTCTGCCTATATTTACTATCACCTCTCTGGTCCTCAGTTGCCTGCTCTATACAGTGGAAAGAGTAATTGCTCTCACAGAGCATTGACTCAGGGATCAACACTCTAGTACATGCCCAGAATATAGTAGCTGATAGGGTGAATTCTTACCTTTTCATGAGCTAGTTATCCGATTGGCAGATTAAAGATGGATCCAGTTAAAAACCCATTCATACACATTGTGTGAATACAGTTCAATAAACATGCGTATAGGTGATGATACTGTGCAGTAAAGAAACATGATTATTATTGCTTATTGAATTAATAGGCAGTGTTTTCACCTATGTCTCCATCCCCACCAGCTGCGGTTTCCTCTGTCAGCCTTCCCCACTGCTCTGTTCCATGTGTTCTTGCCATCCCCCTCCCCAGTCCTGGTTAAGACCTGGTCATCTCTTCCTCCTTTATAATCTGCTATCTAACTCTCTGCTCATGCAATTCATAGGGAAGAGACAAAAATTCAAGTTCTCTACCATACCCAACAACAAGTAACTCAATTTCTATGGTTAATAAACAGATTATTAGAAATTATTTATTATTGTTTGATACCTTGCCCTACACCATCTCCTCCAGCCCCCATACACCACCACCACCATCAACACTTTTCTATTGGTTAATTTATATTACATTTTTTCCTGCTGACTCTTTAGCTTTTATCTTAACACCCTTATGAACAGAGAAGTACTTTACTCTTAAAGGTGCATCCTTTTTAATTGTTCTATAACACTGAAAAAAATTCCTTTATCATATGGAGACAGACTCTTTTCTTTTTTTAAAGTCATAGTATTTAAGAACTCACTCTGTTTGTTTGTTTTAATGTGGTGCTCAGGATCAAACCCAAGGCCTCGCACACTGCTGAGCCACAACCCCAGCCCCCAGACTCTTCTTTTGGATAATAATTAATCTGAGTTTTTTTCTTTCCCTTAATAATATATATATATATATATTATTAAGAAAAAATTCTCATCAAATTCCTTTTTCATAAAATCAGAACTTCAAGTAAGATCCTAGGAAACAAGTTTGTACCACACTAGTGAAAGGCACTGTATAAAGTGAAAGAAGTCAATCTCAAAGGATTACAAACTGTACTAGGATACAGTTTATATAGCATTCTGGAAAAGGCAACACTATAGGAACAGAAAACATCAGTGATATCAAGGGACAAGGATCTGTGTCTAGAAAGTGGTATGTCTATGAGTAGGTAGTAGAAGGAATTCTTTGGGGTATTAAAATTACTCTGTATCCTGTTATTTTGTTATAATGTTTGTTATAGTAATCTATTCTTTTTTTTAATTTTTATTATTGGTTATTCAAAACATTACATAGTTCTTGACATATCATATTTCATACATTAGATTCAAGTGGGTTATGAACTCCCATTTTTACCCCATATACAGATTGCAGAATCACATCGGTTACACATCCACTGTTTTACATATTTCCATACTAGTGTCTGTTGTATTCTGTTGCCTTTCCTATCCTCTACTATCCCCCAGTAATCTATTCTTGTATTAAAACTCATGGAACTATTCACCAAAAAAAAAAAAAAAGTAAATACTACATGTGTAAATTTTTAAAGTTTTTTAAAATTACATTTATTGATCTCACTATCACCAAATGCTCATTATGATTCTTTGTTTTTAATCCCCATGAAATAGAAAATATTATCATCCACACTTTGCAAATGAAGAAACTGGAGCACAGAGAGTTTACTAACTGGCCTGAGATCACAAATCTTGATAGAGGCAGAGCCTGGATTTGAACTCAACTAGCTGGACTCCAGAACTGTTCTTGATACTGTCCTATGCTGTCTCTGAAAAAAGTGAAATGGACTTCATTTTGAATGACATGAATAAGGAGCAGAACACCAGACAGAAGTGGATCAACAGCTTAGTTTGCAAATGGAGCAGAACATATGCCAACAAGACAAACATATGCCTAGGCCCACAGAAAGTCTTAATTATTGTTTTAATAACTTATATCTAAACTTTCCAATTCCCAGCTTCTTTATAATCAAATGTCATCCTGATGACACACTAAATAAATTTCAAAATCAATTTCTAATGCCTATGGGCACTGATAAAATCTTTCTCCCACTGCCTCTTAGGAAATCCTGATTCCAGTGTAAAGAAGTTAGAATATATCAATTGGGAGCTCAAATAAATTGTTTAAAATTTAAAAAATCTTATTCTATTCTGTTTCCCCACCTACTTCCGCAAAGCTAAATCCTCCCGGATATTTTTTAGAACTAAAACCTCTTAGTAATGAGGCAAACGGATGAACACCCACATCTGGTGGCTTGTGGTCATTCTCACATATTCACTCAGGTCTCTCATTGCCTGCAATCTATATACCCACAAACTCCATTCCATGCATTTTGCAAAAACAAAGCTAGTCTCTGCAGAAGTGGTGCATGGCAGGCCTCATAATTCAGCAGCAGCAGCAGCTGGAAGGAGAAAACAAGGAAAGAATTATGATGCCTTTTAAAACTAAGATTTACAAAGATCCCTAAATTTATTAAGTACTATCTTGAGATAATAAAAACTGCTTAGTTTTGATTAAAAAAAAAAGTTGGTAGGAGGAAATTTGCTTCTTCATGTTTAATACTCAGTATTTTCTTTTCTATGGATTTAATCACTCCAGCACTATGCACAACTCACATATATTAATTTTCCTTTTCTTGGTGAGACTAATTGATGTATCTGTGACATTTGTGATTTTGATTCACCTTTTCTGAAACATTCAACAGTGTGATGGACATATCCTCAGCCCACCTTCCTAAGATTCAGAAGCAGTTCTACTAATGAGCTCTACTATAACTCTTATAACCTACAATTAGTCATATTTTAAAAAGGAACCAAAGAGGGATATTAGTGCAATGTAGGACATGTTATGTGAATTCTCTGGTCTTTTCCCTGTGCCCACGTGCTCTATTTATCTTTTATAACCCCCACTAGCATCAACTACAATGATGGCAAGCCTGAAAAAAAAAAATCTTGCTAAGATGAAGTTCTATATAAATAGTAGTTTCAATTTAGATTTTGAACAGAAATCCTGGAGAAGGCCATTTGCAGCTTTATTTCACACTATCTCCTTAAGCAGATTTCTCTGCTCTCTGCCTCCTATCAGGTTTGATCTTGGCTTTTTAGTTTGATCATAGGCTTTTTAGTGTTAATCATTAGTTACCAGCCCACCTCTCATGGAGTACAGTGGTCTTTGGCTTGTGGAATATGAGGCTCACTAGAGGAATACTTAAGAGATGTGAAATGACTTTGCAACCTGATGCAGACAGCAGGGAGATTGCACAAGCACACACGCCCACACACCCAGGAAGTGCAGGGGTCTTGTGGAAGTCAGTTGCTTATCTATTATGTACACTCCAGAGCTGTAAACAAGACCATGTGAGTACTCAGCTAGAATGCTTCCTCTGAGTCAGTATTAAACAAACTTCCGAACTGCTAGGGAAGGAAACAAAGCCACTTGTACCCCAAAGACACCCAGGACAGAATGCCAGGGAGCGTGGGAGTTGCAGACAATATTCTGCCAGAAACTGATGCAATAATTGAAATAGGTTTTGTAATTTAAAAAAAATGTCCCTTAGTAATTCATATCTATCATGAATTAGTATGGGTTGTAATCGCATTTGGGAACCTCACCAGAAATTTACATGAAATTATATGGAATGGCAGGATATTTTGAAAGCCTTTGTGTTTTGTTCCATAAGAATGCTAGCACAACTTTATTTGGCAATGATGATGACTTTAGTGTCTTATCACCTAACATTTTTATTCAGAATGAATGAGACAAAGACCTCCTTGATAACAAAATTAATAAATCCTAGGAAATCTGATTCTCGGCATAGCAGTGTGCAGAGGAAAAGATGTAGACATTGAAATGAGCAGAGTTCCATCTCTGTATTTTCTAATTTTGTGATCTTGAACAATTATATGTTCTTTCTAAAATTCCATTTTCTCATGTATAATATCCTGACATTCATAGGGCTTTTTGTTTTTTTTTAAGATCAAATTAGATATTAGCTTAGTAAGCACTATGACAAATACGCAGAGTTATATGATTATATGCCTTAACCTGTGAATGTCCTCAGGCCAACTAAAACAGAGTTTGGAAGAAATTAAGTCTAGAATAACCCTGGAATTGTTTTGCCTGAAGTTGATAAGGAGTTCTAATGCTTATGTCCCTTTTGGCTTGGAGATCATTTTGTTTTTTAAGAAACAAACAAGGGGAATAAAAAAGTAGCTATCATCTTTAACTAGAAATCTTCAGTTATAACTGAATCCAGAGAATACAGATCCTCTTACTTACACAAAAATTTTTTTCTGAGTTTTATGAGATTAAATAGAAAAATCATCAACCATAAAGAAAAGGAAGCAGCTAAAGCATGTTAATCCTTACCAATGTCCACAAAGTTGGGGGTTTCATTAAGTGTCGTCTGGTGCTCAGACGGTAGAAGACATTACTATTTCCGGCAACCCACAGCTTGACCTCTACTTGGACTTTTGAAGGTAAAACTTCCTGAGAGGAAATTGAATGCAGGGACTCTTTTCCAGTTTGGGATACTTGTCCTGCCAACCCACTGTGAGAAACATTTAGACTAAATTAATTTTTAAAAGGTTATCTGTAAAATACTGAAGTCAATGAAAAGGGTAATATTTACTTTAAATTTAGAATAGGATATGAAATCAAAATCAGAGATGTCCAAAATATCCTCTTCTCCTTGCCTATGTTCCTATAAAAATATGCTCCAAAGTAAGATTAAAGAGCTCCTCTCCCACTTCCTATAATGTTTTTACTTAAACCCTAATCTCTCGGCATTAAAAATGAAAACAGTAGATCAAAAGAAAAAGAAGAATTGTGGCAATTATAATTTACATATATGACACATGGAATCAAATTAAATATAAAAATTGTTCATCTTATTTTCATGACTCAAGCTATCCAAGGTCATTTGAGCTCTTTCTTCCTCAAGGTGTGGATCACCTTTTGGGCTCAGGAGATACTTTAGAGGTCAAATAGAGTCCATCCTTCGGGCAGATGAGACACTGTCCTATTTTTAAAAGACCTCAAGAGAAGGAAATTCCACAGGCTTCCCCCAGATACACATTCCAGTGTCTATCAAACCTCACTGTCTGAAAATTTCTCCTGTTCTCTTATCTAAATCCCTCATGTTGCAACTTAAGCCTGCTGCCTCCTGTCTGGTCCCTAATGAAGATCATCATCATTCTTTATAGATCAGCCTCCTCACACTAGGCTCTTTTTAAACTGTGCAAGCCAGAAACAACTTGGTTCATAACTGTCTTTGTTTACAACTCTCCAGTCATCTTCTTACTCACCTGTGGTTTTCTTGCAACTTTACTTTCTCTGATCTTGTATTTGTTTAAAATACCCTTTAAAATAATTAAAAAAACAAAGTGAAAATTATTCAGTAATTTTATGACATCAAAACGATCTATTCACAATTCTTTTTGTTCTCCTCTCTTTTTTGTACACATGCCTATATCACTGCAACCATGATGTGTGATTTTTATGGAATTTATTCCGAGATTTTAGATTCACTCTTCAGTTTCACAACCAAGAACATGTTTAGAATGAGCTGTCTTATCATTGCAATTTTGACAGTGCTGATATAAAGTTCATGATTTGAATAATTTCCTCTTTTATTCAACAGAATTAAATGATTGATCCTCAAGTACCAAAGCATTCTGCTAAGTTCTAAGGATTCAAAGCATGTAATAAACAGCTGTCAATCAGCTCATGACATAACAAACAACCAATTAATTAGAATGAAGAGGATACTCTATAAATGATCCTGGCATCTACTTATTTTGTGCAAACATATAGGTACTTTGAAAGAGCTGGACCCCTGGGAGAGCAGATCCTGTAGAAGCCTGGCAGATAATGAGGTGGGGAATGAAGCTGGAATAAATTACCATAGTATCTACCATCTACTAGGAGGCCAGAATACCAGAAGACAGAATACTCAGTGCAATCCAGTTTAACTGGCCTTCAGTGGGAGAAAACGTGGTAAAAGTCTGAGCTCCGTAGTGTTACCAAATCTTTTCTGAATTTTTTTTAAAAAAGAACTTTTAAAAAATGAAATGGCAAAATAGTAGAAGTAGAAAAAAGGGTGTGTTAATCCACTTTCAGTCACCATGATAAAATACTTCAGACAATCAACTTAATAAAGAGAAAGGTTTATTTTAGCTCATGGTTTAGAGCTTTCCATTCATGGTCTCCTGGGCCTGTTGCTTTGGGCCTATGACAGCACAGTATAACACGGAATGTGTGGTAGGATGAGCTGGTCCCATCATGGCATCCAGGAAACAAAAGAGAGAGAGGAGGTGGCTGGAGTCCCAATATCACCTCCCAGGGCATACCCCCAAATGATCAAACTTTCTTTCATTAGGCCCCAGCTCTTAAAGGCTCCATTACCTCCCAATAGAGTCACAGGTTAGGGTTTATGCCTGAAACACAGAGAGTCCTCTGGGAAACATTCCAGATCCAACCTATAGGAGATACATAATAGGGTATGTTAAGTCTTACCTAAGAATTCACTTGATAACTGATGAAGCAGTCTAGTCACATCAAGGAAGCAGAAACCTGAAAGATACCACTGGCTGCAGTACCATAGTGTCCTTGGACAACTTTCTCTTCAGGTCTGGTCTTCAGTTTATTTACCTATAAAATCCTATGTTTATAATATATTCGGATTTCAGGAAATAGAGAATATTAAAAATAATATTATCTTTCTAAAATCTGAACATCTTTTTTTAAGAAAATATCTATCTTCCCTTAATTTTATGCTGAGAGTTTTAAATGATACAGACATAAACTTCTTTTTTTTTCTAAAGAGAGAGTGAGAGAGGGAGAGAGAAAGAGAGAGAATTTTAATATTTATTTTTTAGTTCTCGGCAGACACAACATCTTTGTTTTTTTTGTATGTGGTGCTGAGGATTGAACCCGGGCCACACGCATGCCAGGCAAGTGCGCTACCACTTGAGCCACATCCCCAGCCCAAGACATAAACTTCTTAAGAAGTTTAGCTTCTAAGATTGAATCATGATTTTAAAATATTAAGGAAGTTCACCTTAATGAACTAAGATTGAAGAACAAAGAGCCAGTTACCCATTTGTTCAACACACACATGCTGAACATTACCATGTAAAGGTTCTGTGGTAGCTACTGGCGATACTTTGAAGAACATTATTCAGGGTTCCAGAAATGAAGAAAGACGTAGCATACTTGAAACAGATAATTGGGAGTTAAATGAAAGCTGTATTTGTGAGCCAACACCAAAGGAAAAAGAAGCATCCTGATGCCACCGCGGTAAGAAGGACCAGGGAGAGAAGCCAAGTAATGGAACTTTATCACCCATAGAAACAAATGATCAGGGAAAACAGATCATCACACTTACCTGAGTTGTAGGAGAGGCACATCTGAAAAGCAGTTATGGCTTCCTTGGGAGCAAGCAGCCACCACCAAACCTTTCTTCCTGTCCTCTCATCTCCAGAGTTGAATGCTGTTAGAAGCTGGAAAGCAAGGAAACCCAGGTGAAGCAGCTCTTAGAGGTAAAAACATGGTTCCTTGATGAGAAAGACATTACACAAACAGGTAAATAATATAATTATAAGCATTTTTGAGGAATTTGAAACAAGAATGTGACTGAGGAGATGAAGACCTCTCTGAGGAGATAATATTCTTGCTAAAAACGTAAAGAAGAGCTTGCTTAAAGAAATGAGTATGCCAGGAAGGAGGAAAAGCAAGTAAAAGTAACACATGAGGTCAGAGTAGTAGGCAGGGCCTGCACTTTGTAAGGGCTTTATTGGTCATGGGAAGGACCATAATTGAAAGAAAGGGCCCTTCTTTAGGGAAATGGGAAACTATTGAATGCAGGAAAATAATATTGTTTTGTTTACATATTCTGAAGATCCCCTTAGATTGCTGTATAAAGAGTGAAGTTTAAGGGCATAAGAACAGAAGCAGGAAGAACAGCTTTAAGGGTGTTTCAGAGTTAGCAATCATTTGGAATAAGATAGTACCAGGAAAATTAAGAGAAGATAAGGTACTTTCAGATTGTGTCTTAGTCTGTTCTGCCTGCTATGACAAAGTTCCATAAAGTGGGTGGCTTATCAACAACAGAAATTTATTGCTCATAATTGTAGAGGCAGGAAAGTTCAAGGTCAGGGCGGCAGCTTGGTTGGATTCTGGTGAAGGCCCATTTCCTTGTTCACAGACGGACATCTTTAGGCTGTGGCCTCACATGGTGGAAGGGATGAGGGAGTTTTCTGGGGTCTTTTTACTAAGGGCACTAATCCCATTCACAGATGCTACCTTCATGACTGAATCACCTCCCATCAGTGCCAACTCACAAAAACCATGACTCTGAGGAGTGAGTTAACATATGAATTCTCAAGGGACATAAACATTAAGTCTATGTAAGACCTATTTGACACAGAACGCAACAAAAAGAGAAAGGATGAAAACGATGATGGCCAGAATTTTTTTTTTTCATTCACTCATACACCACTTTTTATAAATTATATAGGATAATTTTCTGCACCTCCTTTAAAATGACAGTGTTCACTCATACCTTTCTGCATTCAAATTTGCATTTTTCTCTTTCAGGAATGTTTCTCCTCTTCTGGTCCACAAAGCTAATCCAAATAATTCATTTGTCAAGACTGAGGTGGTTGGACTCAGTAGAGTATGCCTGTGTACCCAGCCTCTCAGGATGATGAGGCAGAAGACCACAAGTTCAAGGCCAGTCTGAGCAACTTAGCAAAATCTGGTCTCAAAATTAAAAAATAAAAAGGTAAAAAGGAATGGGGATATAGTTCAATAGTAGTACATGCCTAGATTCGATCTCTAGTGCCAAAAAACTGAAACAAAAAACAAATGTACTTCTGTGGTACAATTTCTGCCACTGGCCCTAGGTTCAATTCCCAGTACAAAAATAAAAGGAAAAAAGAAAGAAAAGACAAGAAAGGGATCTAGGAATGCTTGACTCAAGAAGCTGCCCCTGGTCTCTCTAGATTGCTCTTATTCTAGACTGACCTTCTCTCTTCAGGACCCCCTCCCTAACCCTGTTGCTTTCACACCGGGTACCTATCACCTTGGAATTGAAATTCTCTACCACTGTAAGAGGAGAGATTTCTCACAGGTGGACACTCTTATCTTATCCAACTATATCTTATCTGTCTCTTAATCCCTTGTGATTCCCTGGCTCCTGAATGACTTAACTTAATTTGCAAAACAATGAAATATAAAGTGGTTAAATAGAAATTTAGGGCATTTCAAACTGGGAGGGATAAAGGTCATTTTCACAGAGGAGCTGACATTGTAGTTAGACCTTAAAGGACTTGAGCATTCAAATACAGAAGAAATGGTATTGGGGGTTGGAGTGGGAAATTGCAAGAGCATAGCACAGTGAAACAGAAGGTTTGGAGAGCAGATCAGTCTAGCTGGAATATGTGTCTGTTGCATTTATACAAAAGAACAATGAAAAAATAGAGTGAATGCAATCTAAGGAAGTTTTGTTTTGTTTTGTTTTGTTTTTTATAGACAATGAAGTTCCAGGAAAGTTTTAGAGAGACACATGACAAGGTAAGGCACACAATATCAAGAGGAGAGTTTGGTTCAAGAAATGGCAGCATACTTAGTTTGGATTAGACTACCCCCTGCCTTGGATAACAATGATAAATTTTGACCTAATATTAAAAATCATTGGGGCTAGGGTTGTGGCTCAGCGGTAAAGTGCTCGCCTAGCACGTGTGGGGCCCTGGGTCCAATCCTCAGCATCACATAAAAATAAAGAAAATAAAGGTATTGTGTCCAGCTGCAACTAAAAAATAAATAATTTAAAAAATCATTGCTTGAAGTTACTCAAGAAAAATGCGAATGTCTCCCCAAAAGAGGTGATTCAATTATTAAAAGATGGGAACTGTATTGTATAAGATTTGTTTTTATATAGCTTTTCTACTGAGGGCACTTTCCATGACACAAGATTCAGGGTGGCTAAAATTCATTTAAAAAGACATTGTCTTTCTGACTTGAGAGAGAATGAGCTCAGAGGGTCCAGAGTAACTGGACAGACAAATCCATGAAAGGAGGAAGTCACAGACAAGGAAGGCTGCCAAATCTGCAAATAAATTTCCTTCAAATCCTTGAACTGCGAATGCACAGGGGAGACCCGAAGCCGCCCAGCAACAAAAGGCTGAAATATTGAACAGACTTCAGCTGAAGTCCCCTCGCTACAACAAACAATAACAATCTTCAGAGTAGTCAACAGACTCCAAGATCTCTGTAAATTATCTTCAATGCATTGTATATAATTTTAAAATCACTAGAAATTGGAAGGGAAAGGAAAATGTGACTTATACCCAAGAAACATCATCATTAAAAAAAAAATCATTTTAAATGATACACTTGTCATAACTAATAAAATAAATAAATAAAGGACTACAAATATGCTCAAAGACAGAAGACACATTATAGCTGCAATGAAGGAAGAGATACTGAATGTAAACAAAAACTGAAAAAATTTCCAAAAAGAACAAATGAAAATTATAGAACTACACTGTATAATGTTTGATGTGAAAAAATTCTGAATTAGCATACAACAGATTGGAGATCTCAAAAGGGGGGCAGTGAATGTAAGATCTATTTGCAAAAATAAAAAATACTATTAAAAAAAAGAAGAAGATCAAAGACTTTCTGACCATGGAAAATATCAGGAGGTCTATGTGCGTAGGATTGGAGTCCTGAATGAGGAAGCGAGAGAGAAATAGGGAAAAACATATGAAGAAATAATGACCTGATATTAGCAAATTTGTTGAAAATATCAACCTGCATATTTAATATTTCAGTGAACTATAAACAAGATAGATGTAAAGAAGACTAAGAACATCACACTTGTATGGTAAATGTGAGGTGTTCCCCAAAAACTCAAGTGTGAGATGATGCAAGAAGGTTTAGAGGTGAAATTATTGGGTTATGAGATCCTTAACCTAATCAGTGAAGGAATCTTCTTGAATGGATTGACTAGGTTGAAATGGTAGGCAGGTAGGGTGTGGCTGGAGAAGGTGGGCCCCTGGGGGTTTGCTTTGGGGGTTTGTATTTTGTCCCTGGAGAGAAGAGGTCTCTCTGCTTCCTGGTGCCATATTCCCAGCTGCTTTCTTCTGCCATCCTCTTCCACCATGATATTCAGTCTCATCTTTGGCCCTGAGGAATGGAGTGAGCCATCTTTGGACTGAGACCCAGAAACCCTGAGTTCCCAAATAAACTCTTCCTCCTCTAATTGTTCTTGTCAGAACTTTTGGTCACAACAGTGACAAAGCTGACTAAAACAGAAATTGATACTGAGAATTGGGGTCATTGTTGTGACTAACCTGACCATGTGGTTCAGAAACTTTTTGGAATTTGTGAGAGGAATTTTGAAAAGTTTAGCAAAGCAAGGTGGAAAAAGAGTGTTGTAAGCAGACATTAATGGGTGACTCCATGGAAAGTTCAGAAGACCAGAATGACAATAAGACTTGTGACTGGCCTCATGAGGTTTCAGAGGAGAAGGCGGACTCTATGCATTGGACTAGAGACCGTTCATGTTATATTCTGGCTAAGAAGTACTCTGCATTTTGTCCAAGTCCCAGCTCTTTCTGTGAGACTGAATTTAAAGGCAATGGACTAAGTAAACTGTCAGAAGTAATTTCAAGGCAGCACAGACTTCAGGGGATGCCATGGATATTGCTGGTAGCTTTTAGCCAAGTTTATGTAATAATCAGGAGCAGAAAGAAGAGCAGAAAGATTTGAAAAACTTGGACTTGAAAAATGGGAGTGAAATTGAAGCTAAAGAAGTTGCAGTTGTTAAAGACAATACAGTCACTAAGGAGATACTGTTAAATACTTTATCCAGCTACTCTAGTAAAGACAGCTTGGTGGCATCTTGGGAATTAGAAAGACCACACTCATCTCTGGATCAAGAGTGTAAAAGTAAAAATTCCTTTGAGAAGAGACCATGGGGCACCCTGCCTGCACAGGGTGGCCTAGGAAGTTGGTTTCGCCATGCTTAGTCACCCAGGTACCTGGAGGCTGCTGTAGCCAGGGTTTCTGGAGGCTTGACTACTGCTTGAGATGGCAAGCATCTTGGTATCAACCAAGTGGTGCTGATTCTGCAGGAATGCAGGATGCTGGAGGTAGGGAGTCACGAAGGTTTCCAAGGTTTTAAAGAAGACCTGGGAGGCCAGGCAAAATGAAGCAGGGTCAGAGTCCCTGTGGGCAGCCCCTGCAAGGGCATCATGTGAAGACGTAAGAAGGAAGCCTAAGCTGCAGTAGAGACTCCTGAGATTAAGAAATGCCAGTTCTGTGGAGTTTCTGCTGTGGAAAGCTGCAGGAATTAAGCAGAGACCAACTAACTGGGAGTCCATCTGGGCTGCAACCAGCAAGGCCACAGGGGTGGTGCTGCACAAGTTCTTTGGAGAGAATATCACAATGCCATGTGGCCAAGATGCTGGACATGGAGCTACAGAACCTGTTTGTCCAGCTGGATTTTAGCTATGCTTTGGTCCCATCTCTTCTTTCTGTGCTCCATTTCTTCCTTTTGAAATGGGAATGTTTACTCTGTATCTTTACATATTGGTCACAGGAAACTTGCTTTTGATTTTTGTAGGAGTTCACACTGCAAAAATCT